ATTGTCTTAGAACATCTTCAGGCAAGTAAATACAGATGACTGTACTACCACTTCAGAAATACACAGGCTTGCTTTCCTGAGTCTTCACCTTGGGATATTCGATTGAATCTGGCACCTTCTTAGCCAATTATTTACTATTTCCTAGTTCAGGTCATTGCTATAATGCTGTGGGCTTACTAGTAATATATTAAAAAAGCAGCTTTCTTTGGGGTGCAGCTGTATTAATTTTCTTTTGAGACTACCTTTCATGAGGAGAAACAATGGCCTGATGGGTGAGTTTTTCTTTGAGGAAAAAACCAGTTTTGCCTAGAAATTTATTCATGCAGTCATTCAACAGTTATTAAGTGCCCACTATGTGCCAAACAGACTTAAGTATAGCAGAGCTTAGCCTCTCAAGATTTCTTATCTGCAGATAAGACTACTATGATGTATTCGTTAAAAATTTTAGCTGAGGCCAATGATGGAATTTACTGGAAAGATACTGGGGTACCTCATGGCATTTAAGGAAGAGCTGGACAACTGGACCTCAAGGGAAGGCAAGAGGAAGTAAGGTCGCTTGGGAAATCATCACTTCATCAGGAGGTCTTTCCTTCAGGCTGCTGTCATCTGCCACCAACTCCCAGGCCCTGAGAGTCTTGAGTTCCAAATTCTAAAGTCCTGGGAAAGAGAATCTTTCCGTTATCACTGTATAACAATTCACCTCAAGACTTAAGAGGCTTAAGATAAGTTATCGCTCACAGATCTGTGGGCTGGCTGGGCTCAACTGGACAGTTCTTGCTTGGGGTCTTCTGTGGTTGTGATCAAATCGTAGTTGTGGATTGCAAATTCCCTGGTGGTCCAGTGGTTAGGACTCCAAGCTTCTACTGCAGGGGGCCCGGGTTTGATCCCTGGCCAGGGAACTAGGATGCCACAAGCTGCACAGCAAAAAAAAAAAAACAAACGGGTAGCTGTGGATGGAATCATCTGACAGTTCAACTAGACTGAATGTCCAGGATGACTTCTTTGCTCCCATGTCTGGCATCTCTGCTGGGATAATCTGGAACAGCCAGGGGCTGGCTGAATACTTCTCTCTCCCTAAACAGGCTCTCTGTAAAGTTATCTTGAAACAGCATGGCAATCTTAGGGTAATAAGACTTCTTAAATGGCGGCTGGCTTCTACCAGTGTGAGCATTCCAAAAGGCACAGGTGGAAGCTGCAAGGCTTGTTATAGCCTAGCCTTGGGTGTCACTTCTGTCCTATTCTACTGGTTAAATATGAATCATAGGGCTACCCCAGACTCAAAAATTATACAAGGGCTTGGATACTATTCATTAAAGGGCCATCTTTGGAGACTAGCTACCAGATAATTTGATGGTTCCACTGGGTTATTTATATCCCACCTAGGGGCAGATTCAGATTTTATACAGCTTGAAGCATATACAATTTGGAGGGCTTTCTTGAAGAATGGAAGGGGCCTATGCAATGAGGGGCCCTGAAGCTACAGCTTCATTAGATTCATAGATAATCTCCTTCTGACCCACCTTCTCAAATCAGCTATGGTAAGGGAGTAGAATGGCTTGGGGAGCCCACCTACTCTTGTATACTAGGACGATTTCCAGAAAAGGAGAAATCATTGTGAGCTTTCCCCACTCCTCACCATAAGTGTCCAGTGTTCAGTTCAATATAATCTGATCATTTGAATGTTTAGAACTCAGGTCTCCTGACTTACAACAGTGAATTTTCAAATATACTATATTGCATAGCATTTTAAAATTTGTATTAAAAAATGTAGTAGAATTGGAAGGATACAAAAATTTTTTTTTAACTTACTATCCTTTATATACCTTTTTCTCCTGGCTACTTTTAAATGTTGATGTCCTTCAAGGTTTCTCATTCTATCCTATCTTCAGATGGCCTCTACTTCACTTGATTCCATCTACCCCCATCATCAGATAACTCCTAATCCTCTATCTGTGGCTCAGACCTCTCTAGTTCCAAATATATACTAGACATTTCTATTTGGATGCCTCAGAGGAATGTCAAGATCTGTGTGGCCAAAACTTAACCTATCCTTATTCCTTATTATGATGAGAAACACCATTCAGCCATCTTCAGAAACATTTACAGAGCATTTACTACATGCCAGGCACTGGGAATACAGTAGCAAAGAACACAGACAAAATACCTGTGCTCCAAACAGATATTAAATAAGGAAACAAGGTCATGAGAAATTGTGATAAATGCTATGACAAAACCAGAGTGACAAGATGAGTAACTGGGAGAGGCCCTTTGCTGGAGGGAGAACAGGGAAGAACTTTCTACAAAGGTAACACCTGAATTTTGGAGGAAGAAAAGCCAACCATGTAAAGGTGTGGAAAGAGCACTGTAGACAGAAAGAATAGCAAGCACAAAGTCCAAAAATAGGAAAAGGCTTAGTAGCCTCAGAGGGCCAGTAACAATGATGTTAATGAGACGGAATGGCATCATAAGGGGGTTGGTGGGAGGTAGGAGTCAGATTATGCAGAGCCTTGTAGGCCATCATAAGGAGTTGAATCTAAATCCAAAACAAACAAACACCAAGAAGCCACTAAAGGGATTTCAACTAGGAGGAAGGGGTGTGATGATCTAATTTACGTTTTTTAAATAAACTGCCTGGTGTATAGTGAATGGACTGTGGAGAGGGAAGAGTAGAAGAAGGGAAACCAATTGAAAGCATATTATAGTAGAACAGCCTAGAAAAAGCTTGGATTAAGGTGGTAGCAAGAGACATGGATTCGAGATTAACATTGGAAGTAATTCACAGACCTTGGTGATGGACTAAATTTAAGGGGTAAGTGAGAGGAAGAAAGCAAGGATAGCTCCCAGGTTTTTGACTTGAGCACCTATAGATGGATGTTACTTCCACTCAATCTCCAAAGGCATCATCCTCTACACCTCCCTTCCCCTCCTCCTCCATATCCAGTCAGTCACTGTGTTAGTCAGGGTTATTCAGAGAAACAGAACCAGTAGCATGTGTATATATAGAGAGAAAGATTTATTTTAAGAAATGGCTCACAGGGAATTCCCTGGCTGTCCAGTGGTTAGGACATGGCACTTTCACTGCTGAGGGCCCGGGTTCAATCCTTGGTTGAGGAACTAAGATCCCACAAGCTGTGCAGCGCAGAGAAAGAAAGAAAGAGAGAGAGAGAGAGAGAGAGAGAGAGAGAAAGGAAGGAAGGAAGGAAGGAAGGAAGGAAGGAAGGAAGGAAAGGAAGGAAGGAAGGAAGGAAGAAAGAAAAAGAAAGAAAAAGAAAGAGAAATTGGCTCACGTAATTGTGGGAGCTGGCAAGTCTCAAATCTGCAGGGCAGGTCAGCAGGCTGGAGACCCATGGAAGAGCTGATGCTGCAGAGTCCAAAGGCAGTCTGTAGACAGAATCCCTTTTTCCTCAGTGTATTTTCTTTTCTTTTTTTAAAAAATTAATTATTTATTTTTTTGGTTTTCGTTGCTGGGCGTGGGCTTTCTCTAGTTGTGGAGCGCGGGGGCTACTCTTCATTGCGGTGCACGGGCTTCTCATTGCAGTGGCTTCTCTTGTTGCAGAGCTTGGGCTCTAGGCGCAGGGGCTTCAGCAGTTGTGGCACACGGCTCAGCAGCTGTGGCTCACAGGCTCAGCAGCTGTGGCTCACAGGCTCTAGAGCACAGGCTCAGTAGTTGTTGTGCATTGGGCTTAGTTGCTGTGAGGCATGTGGGATCTTCACGGCTCGAACCCGTGTCCCCTGCATTGGCAGACGGATTCCCAACCACGGTGCCACCAGGGAAGTCCCTCAGTGTGTTTTCTTTTTCTTTTTCTTTTTTTTTTTGCGGTACGCGGGCCTCTCACTGTTGTGGCCTCTTCTGTTGCGGAGCACAGGCTCCGGACGCGCAGGCTCAGCGGCCATGGCTCACGGGCCCAGCCGCTCCGCGGCATGTGGGATCCTCCCGGACCGGGGCACGAACCTGCGTCCCCTGCATCGGCAGGTGGACTCTCAACCACTGCGCCACCAGGGAAGCCCCCCTTTTTAAAAAAAATAAAAATAATTAATTTAAAAAATTTATTTATTTATTTATTTTTGGCGGTGTTGGGTCTTCGTTGCCGCGTGTGGGCTTTCTCTGGTTGCGGCGAGCGGGGGCTACTCTTCCTTGCGGTGGCTTCTCTTGTTGCAGAGCACGGGCTCTAAGCACGCAGGCTTCAGTAGTTGTGGCTCGTGGGCTCTAGAGCACAAGCTCAGTAGTTGTAGCACATGGGCTTAGTTGTTCCACGGCATGTGGGATCTTCCCAGACCAGGGCTCGAACCCGTGTCCCCTGCAGTGGCAGGCAGATTCTTAACCACTGCGCCACCAGGGAAGCCCTCGGTGTGTTTTCGTAATGCCTTCAATTTATTGGATAAGACCCATCCACATTATGGAGGGTAATCTGTTTTACTAAAAATCTGCATCTTAAAGGTTAATCATAAACAAAAAATACATTCACAGCAACAACTAGACTAGTGATTAACCAAAAACTGGGTACCATGGCCTAGCCAAGATGACACATAAAATTAATCATCAGAGTCACTAAATTCTGTTGATTCTGACCCTTAACTATTTATCTGATTGGTTCCTTCCTCTTTGGCCACTGCCTTGCTTTAGGATGGTGTTCTTCTCTATTAATTCATAAAATATTTACTTATGTATTAGATACTGTGCCAAATGCTGGAGATATAACTGTTAATAAAAGACAGGTTGTGCCCTAGGGACCTTACATTCTAGTCTTTCCTTGCCTTCTGTCTTACCTCCTTCCAATCCCTCTTTATCAATGGATGGCTGTATAGCATTGCCTCTCACACTTTAACATACAATCATCTGAGGATCTTGTTAAAAGGCAGATTCTGATTCTGGGATGGAGTCTGAGATTCTACATTTCTGACAAGCTCCCAGGTGTTGCTGATCAGGAACAAACTTTGAGTAAGTGGGCTGTAGGATATCTTTTGGAAGACCATCTTTTATAAAATGTGTACTATTTGTAGACTCTGAAAAGGTACACAAGAAATGGGAAACAATAGTTGCCACCAGAAAAAACAGAATGGCTCATCACTGTGTATACCCTTTTATAACTTGAACGTTGTACCAAGTACGTGTGTTACATATTCAAAAATAAATTAAGAAAACAACAAAAACAAAATAAAAATATCTGAAACTGCACGCCTCTGAAAATCCTGCAGTGGAGCCCAATGGCCCGAAGGACAGAGTGCAGGTTAACCCATCTTAAACCCTTTATTACGATCAGTTTACCTGTTCAGCTTATCTCCAATTGCGCCATTCAGTCAGACCAGGGACCACATGCAATCTTTTTACGGGAAATGCACTGGAGCAAATTTCACTTGGTCTTTAAAACTCGTTACTGCAGTGCTTACCCTCCCGAAGCCTTTCAAGTGGCCTACCGCTCCCCGCCCGCCCCCCGCGGTTAATGTTACCCATTTACATTTAACCTCGCAATGCTTCTTTTTGTTGCAGTCATCGCACTGTGTCGAAATTTGTTTACATGTCTATTTTTGCTACTTGATTGTGCGCTCCTTTAGGTCAAGGCTAGAGTTTATGCTTAGCGCAGACCGAGTTCCGAAATTATTCTGCGAAAGAATGAATCATGTATTGGCTTCAAGGAGCTCAAAGGAAGGGAAAATCCTTGAGCACTGGGGCTGCCTTCGATCCCTTCGTGACGAACTGGAGGCAAGTGTGCCAGGAGCTGACTCTGAGCACCCTGGCTGGGAAGGCTGCCAGGAGCTCGGCCCTCTCCGCTCGCTTCTTCCCGGGAGCCCTGCGTACTCCGGCTTCCAGAGGGACCCCACCTCGCCCAGCGCAACCGCGCCCTCCAGTGATCGGGGAGGCCAATCCACCGCCCCCACAGGTGGGCGTGGAGTTCAGAGCCAGCTTCTGAGTGCGGCGTGGAGAGGCTGTGGGTCTCCTAGGTGTCAGCCAGCGGCAGCGAGAGGCGATCCGTGTGACCAGAGGAAGGGCGCATCCGACTGGTTGGGGCGCGGATGGGGTTGGCAGAGGAGGGGTGGAGAGGGCAGGCGAGAGCCCAGCACCAGGCAAGGTACCGCCCTGCTAACTTTCCCGCACTTACATTTCCTTCCCAGGGCCCAGGATTGGGTGCCTTCCCTCAGCCCCTTCCTCTCTCCCCACCCCACTAGCCCACAGGACCTCCCCGGGGCGTGGAATACAGGACGCTCCGCCTCGCCCGCCGCATTCCGCGCCCCTTCCGGCCCGCGCGCACGTCGCCCCAGCCGCCGCCAGAAGGGGCGGGGCCTGGGCCTTGGCGTTCAGTCAGCCAAGGTCCCAGCGTGCCCTGCGGCGGTCAACGAGAGCAGATCCAGTGACTCACATCCGCCGCGCTAACTCTTTGCTCGCTCTCTACTTGCACACGCTTACACCCGGCTCGAGATGGCGGCGGCAGCGGCGGGGGACTCCGACTCCTGGGGTGAGGAGAAGTTCCGGGAGCAGGGCCTGGGCCGGCGCTGGCCCCACACCCAGGCAAGCATTAACGTGGCTCGCTCTCTTCCGTAGACGCGGACACGTTCTCCGTGGAAGACCCGGTGCGGAAGGTGGGGGGCGGCGGCACCGCCGGCGGGGACCGCTGGGAAGGCGAGGACGAGGACGAGGACGTCAAGGTGGGTGCGGGCCGGGGCTCCGAGCAGTGTTGGAGCGGGCTGGCGCTGTCGCGGGCAGAGTTGCCCGCCGACGGGCGGGCGGACGGACTGTGGGCCCAGGGGCGCCGCCCGGGCCTGCGGGCCGTGGGTCTAGGCTCGAGCGTAGGGCCTGGCGGTGCCCTGTTCCCCTCCTTTCGCCGGCCATATGGGCTGGAGGCGGGCAGCGTGGTCTGTTGAACTTCCCTAACGAGTCGCTGGCCCCAGCCCTAGCCTTAGCCCTAGCCCCAGACCTTCTTTGAAGGTCTGCGCTCCGGCCTGGATCCCACCCGCCAACTGGCGACGGGAGGTGACAGCAGCTGCTGGACCGGCCCACGTGCAAACTTCGCGGTCTGGAGTTGCTCGCGGGGATGAGACTGGGAAGCTGAGAATGGAGCCCCTGGCTTATCCCATATGGAAAGGCTTGCAACCCACCTGCCCTTTCAAGCTCAGGTCTCCCCAGGGCCAATAACTCATTTATATCCCCGAAGGCCCATTTGTAGAGTTTGTTCGAGGTGTTAGATGAATGAAATATTGTGGTTTAATTTTAGCCACCTTTTTTTTTTCCCCCACACAAATGCAATAATTTTTAGCCTCCCTTCTCCCATCCTGTGGTAAAAGGATGAACTGAGTACTGAGATAGCTAGCAGTTAGTGATGAGAAACCTGGGTAGTCCACACAGCGACCTATTATTCATTTACACACGAACGCGTAAGGAAATAGTGAAGATTTGGTGGTTGGAGAAGACGAGGGAGTCAGTGTTTTGTGTTTTTTTGGTGGTTGGTTGTTTTTCCTATGCCTTGTAGATTTGAACTTGATTTACCGTCTTCGTTTGTTTTTGAGAACTTCTGGGGGCTTCAGATGACATTATGACTACTGCATTCGTTTTTGTTTTTCAGGTAGCTACAAAAGTCTCAAGCACAGAATGTTAAGACTCTTACTAACAAACTTCTCAAAATCTTTTTATTTTTGTGAAGATAAGGTTTAGTATGAGTTGGAAAATGGTGGTTTATGGTTTCGATTCATTTGGTGAATGTTTTACTCTTCTAACTTCTACCCTTCAGCTCATGCTAACAACCCTACAAATCCTTCTGCTTGGGTTGAAAAAAAATTTAAGCTAGGTAATCACTCTGAATTTTGTGTTAATACTGCTTGTGTTACATTTTACCTGAGTCTGATGAGGTGGATGTCCAATTCATTGAACAGCTTGTGAGGTTCAGGGATGACGCGAGCTTTGCAAATCTTGGGTTTAATAAATGAGCACTACTATTGTGAAGATACTTAAATGCTTCATTTAAATGTTGTATAGACGTAGGAATGGATTGTGTTATCAGCCTCATTGCAAGATATTAGTTACCTCCATACATTGTAGCAGATTTTCTGTTTTGAGTCTTTAGTTCAGATTTGTCCTTTCACTTTTTCTGTGCAGAGTGGATGTAGGAGTTAAGACATCTGTTATGAAAATTGGGAATAAGTGAGAAGAAACGACTAGAGAAATCAGAAAAGAATTATCAGATAATGAAGTTTGAATGAAGTAGTCTAGACTGATATCATGAAGAAGACTGACTGAAATTATTGTATCGAAATGGTGTCAATCCTGATAAATATAATTCTGACCACTTGGAACTAATTTTGGAGATTTATAAGTTGTAAATCTTATTTACAAAAAGGTAAATCTTATGTACCCTAAAGGTCATCTCGCCTCTTTGCACCCTTTTAGTGCAGAATTTCTTTCTTTTATACAAGTAGCTTATTTCTTTTACATAAACTTTGAAGTTGATATTGGAGTAGAAAGCTGAACTTGTCCATTTTATTTCCATGTTGAAATGCTGGTTTATTTCTGTTGAGTTTCTTCAAGATTTCCAAGTTAAGGTGTTCATGGAGTAGTTTGATTCCTAGTAGTTTGGAATAGACAGACCTGGATCTATATTTTTGCCTTGACATTTTCTGTTTGTGGTCATGAACCAGTTTTTTAATACTTTTTTCTTTCTCTTCCATTTCCCAATCTTGTCATTACAGAAGCTACCTCAGAGGATTATGCACTTTAAATGAGATAATATTAAGCATTAAGCAGAGTTGCCTGGTACTTGGTAGGCACTCAGTAAATGTTAATTCTCTCTCTCTGCAAGAGAGAATATTTTTCTGGCTAATGGAAAATATCTTTAGGCTGTTTAGATCGAGTAGCTGGGGTTATTTTTGTGCCACGTTTTTTTGTGCTTAAGCTCAGTAGGAGTAAGTTCTCTCCACGGTGGCTGTTTACTGTGAATTTTTTGTTTTGAACTGAATGACCATGGTTATCAAGCAAGTTTTTGCTTGCTCAGAGGTTACCAATCTAGAGTTGAAATTTGTCACCTTGAATGGTAGTGAGTACAGGTTTTCCCTGCTATCCAAAAGTAGAGCATTCCTATGAAACCTTCCCTAAGCTGAAAGAAGCAATTGCCTTAGGACTCATCTTGCTAACAAATGCACAGGATGAATCAAGGTAAAGCACAGATGCTCGCAGACACAGTTCAAAGCTATGGCAGCTTGATGCTGAGATGCTGAGTAGTTTGGTGGAGAAGGAGCTTGGCCTTGGCGGTGCCACTCTTGCTGCTTGGGTGCACGCTGCCTCTATAATGGCTCAGTGCAAAAACGAATGCTATTTTCACTTGTAATAAAAGCGAAAATCCTCTTTGGATTTCTTTCACTTAGTGAGCACAGTTATTAATGAAGGTCATTCGAAAAAGCGAAGTGGCATAAAGTGAACTTTAAAAAGTGAGGGATACCTATAATACCAAATTTCTGAATTCTAATGTTTTAGCGTTTAATCCTTTTGTAAGGAGATGCTAACAAGGTTTAGTTACCATGAGATCGAATAATCATAGTCCTTAAATAATACAGTATGTGAATTTTTGAAAAGTCCTTCAAAAGTGAGGTATGTAGAAACAGTAAGTTCTTCAGTTTATGTCAGCATCTAGTGTTTAACCTTTAAGAGTATAGGTTTAATGTCATTTGTAGTGTCCTGAGAAATGAAAGGAAAACTGAGGTCCTCGTTACAGTAACTTGCTTCAGTAGTTTACTGTTTTTCAGTAGATATAGCATTTTGCTGCCCTTGACTTTTCAGATAGCTGTCTGAAAGTGGCAGTGCGTATAGGTGAAACTGTAGAATTTTTAATATTCATGGTTGGGGGGGAGTCTATGCTTCTTCCCAGTGAAAAGGTAAGAACTAGGGAGCGTACTTCCCTGTCACATTAGCTTTATATTCCCTTTCTGTACTATCCTGATGTTATGTAGAGGCAGTGGGAGGAATTATTTTCTTGGCATATATCTCTGGACTCCTTCCCCATTGCTGGAATGATGTGTAGGCTATGTTGATTAAGAAGGCACAGACTTCCCTGGTGGTGCAGTGGTTAAGAGTCTGCCTGCCAGTGCAGGGGACACAGGTTCGATCCTGGTCTGGGAAGATCCCACTTGCCGTGGAGCATCTAAGCTCGTGTGCCACAACTACTGAGCCTGCGCTCTAGAGCCCACGTGCCACCACTACTGAAGCCTGTGCGCCTGGAGCCCGTGCACTGCAACAAAGAGTAGCCCCCACTCGCCACAACTAGAGAAAAGCCCACGTGCAGCAGCGAAGACCCAACGCAGCCAAATAGATAGATAGAAAAAAAGAAAGAAAGAAGGCAGTGAGTACCTACCCACTGCACGCAGGAACAATACAACTTTTACTCCATTTTACTAGTATCCCATCATTTCAGTAAAACAGATTAGAAGCTAGATTTATTCAAAGGGTGTGGAGTTTGTTTTGAGAAAACTTCTGGCTGTGATCAATCATCTCAGACATTTGCTTCTGTAATGTTATTACAGAATTTCTTTAAAAGATCCTAGAGAGGGCTTCCTTGGTGGCGCAGTAGTTGAGAGTCCGCCTGCTGATGCAGGGGACACGGGTTCGTGCCCCGGTCCGGGAAGATCCCACATGCCGCGGAGCGGCTAGGCCTGTGCTCTGCAACAGGAGAGGCCACAACAGTGAGAGGCCAGCGTACTGCAAAAACAAACAAACAAAAACAAACAAACAAAAGATCCTAGAGAGCTGACTTAGTTGAAAACTGCCTGCCACATCATGCCCATTCAACTGTCTGTGAGGATCCTATCCTGGTTAATAGTTTATATCTACCAGAGTAAGGACATTTTTAAGCGTTGGAAACGGTACTTCTGAAGTAGGGCATCTGTATTTCAAAGAAATTGGAGATTGCTGGGAAATTCTCAGAAGGTGGCATTTTGCTAGGAAATGGGTATCTGGAAGTGTGTGTGTGTAACTTATGAGAAGTTCTAAACATATAAAGAAGTGGAAAGAAAAGTTTAATAAACCCATGACCAGGGACTTCCCTGGTGGTCCAGTGGTAAAGAATCTGCCTTCCAATGCAGGGGACGCAGGTTCGATCCCTGGTCAGGGAACTAAGATCCCACATGCCACGGAGCAACTAAGCCTGCGTGCCGCAACTACTGAGCCCACACGCCTCAACTAGAGAGCCCATGTGCTGCAAATTACAGAGCCCACCCACTCTGGAGCCTGCACGCCACAACTAGAGAGAGAACCTGCACACCACAGCTAGAGAGTAGCCTGCGTGCCACAACTAAGACCCGATACAGCCAAAAAATAAAATAAAGAAAAATAAAATTTTTAAAAACCATGACCAATCTTTTATCTTCTGTATCCCCACTTACTGCTCTCCTCCCCCAACCAGATTATTTTGAAGAAAATATCAATTATATCATTTCAATACCTTGACAGTTTTTTTTATAAACTAGTAAGTTTTTAGTTAGGATGGTTATTTTTACAATAAGGCATCCATTACCCCTTCCCAGCCCCCCACCCAGTTCGCCATAATTAGACTCGGCTACCTTGTTTCTATCGAGTAAACTCCTCCACTTGTGCCTCTGTATTCGCCTTTGTTTTGCAATTTGAATCTCATTTTACATTTTTGTTTTGTTTTTTCCTTTTTTAAAGAAAAACACAATAAATGACATCTTAAGAATTTAAAAGGCAAAAAAAAATACTGAAAAATATTTACCTAATATATTTGTCATGCTGGACCATTGAAAATAAATAAGCCACTTGTTTAGAGTTCAGTGTCTTGTTCTTGATCTAGCTTAGCCAGGAATTTAAAGTAGAATTGATAACAGTTCCAAATATGAGACAGGTCAGCATTAAGATGGAATTCAGCAGAGTGCTGAGCCATAGTAGGGTGTTAAAAACTTAGTGAATTGACTTAAGTGAAGTAGAATTTATTGAGGCAGGTACCTTGGCTTCCAGAGACCATCATAGTTCTGAGGTGATGGAAGAATATTTGGGCTTCTTTTAAGAACTAAAGTTTCCTGGCAGGTCTAGCCATGGCAGGAGCTCACTACAGAGTTCTGAGGCTTCTCAGAGCAGGTTGGTACAGCTTACAGAACACCAGTAAATGACTCTTACTGCAAGAGATTATGCTTTATCTAAACCAAACTAAAGAAGAAAGGGGGAGGAGTATATGTTAGTTAATGGACTATTGCTATGGGACAGAAGAAATTTACTGCTCATTTGAAGCTACTTCTATTTGACGATCTATAAATATATCTTGCTTAAGTTGGAAAACATTTTCAGCCCTAACTGTGTTCTCTCATTGCATGTGACATTCTGTAGTTGTACATTATAAAAATGACAGACTGGCCAACTACTGACTGCATTATTAGGAATAAAGAAAGCAGGGTTTAAATTTTTTATGTTATGTTTTCAGTTCTTAGTCATATTTGATTGGGAAGCAGATTTTAAACTTGAAAAGCAGCCATCTCTTTCAGAGAAATGGCTCAAATGATGCTGGGTGTGTGTCTGTAGAACATGAGTATAGATAAGTGAGTAGTTTATCAACAGCCTCTCTTCTGAGGAAGCTGGCCATTTTAGGAGAGCAGCCTGGTTAATACTTTTGGAGATAGATCGGATATTATAGTTGGAAGAGTTATTGGCTACCAATGATAATTGGGTAAAGAATTTAACTGGGTGTTTATAGGTAATCTCTTGAACCAAAAACAACCATTTAGGGCTTACAAAATTATAGACTTAACTCCCTATTTTAAGTGTTCATTTTAGGTGTTTCTCTTGGAACCCTTCTTACATTTTATCTGAATTTATTGTCAGTATTTACAAAGTCCTGATGTTTATGGAAAATTAGGCAGATATAGACATTCTACTTTTATACATTTACTTTTATAACTAAGGATGCAAAAACTCTTTTAAGTTCTGGGGGAAAGCTACCTGGCCTTCTGCTTTTGGGATTGCATCTATTTGGAAGTATGGCCAGGCTCTTTTTGCTGACATCACTATGCTCCCTTCTTTAGCAACTTGTCCCCAGTATAGGAATAACTTCAGGGCAGTTATTACTGTTTCAGGCAGTCTGGGGTGAGGGTGCCTTTCATGGTCCTTTTATGAACTGAGGAGCAGATGTCATGGTTGTTTCCAGGACTTATTAGGAACCACTGTTTTTGCTACTGAAATCCATTCTGTGGTGGAATTCTCTGTAGCCTTGTTATGCTTGCACTGATGGGACAATGTAATGACTGTCTGGAATAAGGTTTATTCTTTGATAGGGAAACCAGGGCGGGGTAGAGGTGGGGCATAGAGTTAGTGCGAATGAGATACTGAAGGAGCAGTGATATGGGTGGGGTGATGTTTTACTGGTAAAGGGAACTGAGGCACATCAGCATTGAACAGAAATGTTACTCTGTTGTGCTGTTTCTCTATGTTGGAGTTACTGGGATGGAGCTGCTCATTTTCAGCTATACCTCTCCCTTCTTGGCCTCCTAGTACCAGAGGCTGCTAGACTCATTTGTTAAAATTAGTGGAAATCTAGCACAGGCAATTTGAGATGAATAATTGACATATTTGTAGCTGGGCATATCTTAGTATGTACTGTAACCCTTCTCTTTGATATGGGGTTCCTTGAAATTCCAGGGGACCTCATTCCAGAACTAATTGAAAGAACAAATTTTGGTGTGGAGGGACCTAGTTCCCAGACATATATTTTATACTTCAGCACTCAGGTAAGAAGTCATGTTTAATATGACGCCTTAAAGGAACTTTGGCCTGTTCAAAACAGGTTCCTTCATTATTTTTCCATTCGGATTGTGGGATAGCTATCTCTGGGCCTTAGTGTACTTACATGTAAAGTAGGGATAACAGCGCCTTACTTACAGAACTTTTGTGAGGGTTAACTGTTACTATATGTAAAATCCTTTGGGGAATTCTCTGGCTGTCCAATGGTTAGGACTCCGTGCTCTTACTGCCAAGGGCCCAGGTTCAATCCCTGGCTGGGGAACTAAAATCCCACAAGCCTCTCTGTGCAGCCAAAATTTAAAAAGTAAAAATAAAACATAAAGTACGTTGCACAGTGCTTGGTGCAAAGTAAGCCCTCAGTAAATGCTATCTATTATTATTATCATCATCACTGTTATTAGTAGGGAGTTATAAATAAACATCCCCTGGAAGTAAGCAGTTGGTCCTTTTATCTGAAGCACCATCTAAGCAGCATATCACTCACAGACCCAGCTTTCCTGTGTTCTGTGAAGATTAAAATGACAAAAAACTCCTGGTAGTAGTTAACTTTTATATTTAGCTCTCTGGTTCCTTTTGTACTATGGTGTATTGATACAAGCACTTAAGCAAACCAGCAGGGTGATATAAACATTTGCTGTCTAATTTCTAATCTAGTATCTTAGATGTTCAAACAATGACTAGCTGGTTTGCTTTCATTCTGTTTGTTAACAATGAACTAAGGGTTAAATTGCGAAGGTAAAGTTATTATAAAAATGCTTTTGTACAAAGTTCTTCCCACTGCTTGCAGACCCCATGGCAGCCTTAATCAGGATTTTTTATTTCTTTGGATTTACAGATTTTTATTAAGAATCAAGGCTTGGTTAGTTTATATACCTAGGCTGTTGATTCAGATTTATGACCTGTCTTGTTAAAAACCAGAAGCTTGGTGTCATAGTTATGGCACATTAGTCAGCTTCTGCCTCTTCCACTAGCATCAGGACCTCCTGCTTTGCACCTGCCATGCTGTGGCTCAGCTTCCAGTGGGCGTGTCCTGGTGTGCCTGGCGGTTGTTGAGACAGTGGTCAGGCTACCTATAGATTAAAGTCTATTTAAACACAGGGCTGTGTCTTTGTCTATTAAACCTTCTAAATTCTGTGGAGCCTTTAGAAGATTGTTTGATAATTGGTTTATATTTTGCCCAGTGACTGTGACTGTAAAGACAGTATAGATCCACCTTAAAGTGCCCCGCCCAAGTTAGGGAGTGGGTTCCATGAAGCTGTTGATCAGCTCTTGACTTTTCTAATACTGGGATTAACTTTTTTTTTAATTTAATTTTTTAAAATTGAAGTATAGTTGATTTATAGTGTTGGCCTTAAATTTTTATAAAGATTTAATTCATTAACCAGGGTTGTGTTGTATGGAATATTGCTTGAAATAACCAAGCCATTAGCTAGAATGTTGGATGCTTTTACATTTGGGGAAGTAAGAAGTATAAAGACTGCTCAGTTTTTCATTTAAAACAACTGAATTATTTAAGAGAGGCTGTTAGTTTTGGCTTGGTTGTCTTGTGTTTTAATTGTTAATGGAGAAGCTTTTTTGTGGAGTTAGACAAGTTGATATAAAAATTCATATGGAAAAACAAATGTGCAAGAATGGCCAGGAAAACAGTAAAAAAACCCTGAAAACCTGCAAGGGGTGACTAGCCCCAGCTTACATACGATAAAGCCTCTAATCAAAACAGTCGGTGCTGGTACGTGAAGAGACAACAGACCAGTGCGACAGAATAGAAAACAGAAATAGACTAGGTACCTAAGAAAATTTAGTATATGGTAAATCACAGGGCAAAGATGGACTTTTTTTAAAATTGAGATATAGCTGATTTACAATATTATAAGTTTCAGGTGTACAACATAGTGGTTCACAACTTTTAGAGATTATACTCCATTTATCGTTAGAAAATATTGGAAAGGTGGACTTTTCAATAGATGGTGCTGTGACAGTGGGTAACCATTTGGAAAAAGATAAAATTAGATCCATACTTCACACCATACAAAAGAAAAACCTCCAGTGGATCAGAGATCTAAATGAAAAAACAATGAAAGCATACATGTTCTAGAAGAAAATTCCTTGCTTTAAGAAAAGACTTTCTGGGCTTCCCTGGTGGTGTAGTGGTTAAGAATCCACCTGCCAATGCAGGGGACACGGGTTTGAGCCCTGGTCCGGGAAGATCCCACATGCCGCGGAGGAACTAAGGCTGTGCACCGCAACTACTGAGCCTGCGCTCTAGAGCCCGCGAGCCACAACTACTGAAGCCTGCGCGGCTAGAGCCCGTGCTCCACAACAAGACAAGCCACCGCAGTGAGGAGCCTGCATACCTCAACGTAGAGTAGCCCCCGCTCGCCGCAACTAGAGAAAGCCCGCGTGCAGCAACGAAGACCTAACACAGCCAAAAATAAATAAATTAAAAAAAAAAGACTTTCTAATTGACTTGGAATCCAGAGGGAATAAAAGAAAAGATTAAATTTTACCGCATAAATGTGGTGGGGTACGTAGCACTTAATGGGGAAAACACTAGAGGCACTTCCATTAAGAGAAGAACAAAGCAATGATGCCCATTTTCTCTGCCACTGTTCATTCACACTGTACTAGAGGTTTTGCCAGTGCAGTTAGATAAGAAAAATCAATTGTGGAGGCACACGAATTGATAAAGAAGGAATAAAGCTATCTCTTGTTTGCAGATGATATGGTAGTACACCTGGGAAAACCCTAGAAAATCAATGATGGAACTAACTTAAGTGAAATGAATTTAGTAAGGTAGCAAGGTATAAAATTAACATACAAAAACCAATAGCTTTTCTATACTAAAATAGTAACTGGTTAGAGGACATAAAAGGAAAAAAGAAACATATTTACAGTGGCAACAGAGATGATGAAATACTTCGGAATAAACCTAAAGAGAAATGTGCAAAACCTCTAAGAGAAACTTTAAAACACTCCTTGAAAGATACAGAGGGAGCCTTGAACAGATGGAAAGATAGCCCTTTTTCTTGGCTAGGGCAGTTCAACATTATAAGATGTCAGTTCTCCCAAAATTAATTTATAAATTTAATGCAACACCAAAAAAAACCCCCAACAAACTTGTTTCTGTGGAGTTAGACAAGCTAATAATAAAGATCACGTGGAAAAGTAAACATGCAAGAATTATTAATGGAGGTCCTTTTCTTTAGGATAACTGGGATGATGATGATGATGATGAAAAAAAAGAAGAAGCAGAAGTAAAACCAGGTAAGCCATTGGGGTTCTTCCATTTTTGGTTTTATATCTTAGTGAACATCTGGCGCTTATGTTAAGACAAATGAGAAAATGCCTACAAAATCAGAAATTTTGGTTATTTTTAGAAACCAAACATCCTTCCGTTCCCACTTCATTCTCTTCTCCCTGTATCTCTTCTCTCTCCTCAAAACATAATCAGATTAGATACCTGCCAAATTTCTGTTTGAGTGCTTTTGTTAAAGGAGAGAGTAAAAAATAAGACATCATAGTTGAATGATCTAAGTCCTGCCTAAAGGACTGTAGGGAAATAAGAAGGGAGATGTTTGGATCTTAGGGGTCAGATTAGAGAGGAGAAAGGAAGAGTCCCAGAACTTTCCTATTCTTATTTGCCAGGAAATCACCATATGAAATTGGAGCTGGGTGAGGTTTGGTCTCTTGAAGTATATAAGTATCATGTCTGTCTCATTCATAAACTGGAAAGTATTCAAGATAACTGTGATTAAAACATTACTTTCAGAAGTAAAAATTTCAGAAAAGAAAAAAACAGCAGAGAAGATAAAAGAGAAAGAACGGCAGCAGAAGAAAAGGCAAGAAGAAATTAAAAAGAGGGTAAGTACTATTTATTTTCTAAAATACAGAATTCTCACATCAGTAGTGGTGCAGCATCTTAACAGGCAGTATTACCTAATATTACCTAATAAATAGTACTATTTATTTTCTAAAATATAGAATTCTCACATCAGTAGTGGTGCAGTATCTTAATAGGCAATATTACCTAATCATTTGAAGGGCTTTGTAAGGACTATAAATGGATACTGTCAGATAAGATGATCCCAAACAAACTGAATTTGTGGTTTTTGCAAAAACCAAACCCAGAAGCTGTATGTATTAGAATGCCTTTTTAAGTTTTCACAGACATTTTGGAACATGACTGTGTTGTGACCATAGTCAGTGATTTTTGTCAGTGCCTGCAGTTCTCTCTAGCTGTGATTAGTCTTTTTTTTTTTTTGCAGTGTACATTTTGAGTGAATACAGAAAGTGTCCATTTCTCTGCCATGTGCTGTATAAATGTTTTTGTTCTTGATTATTTGGAGCAATATCAGGAATTTTGTGTTAATTTACTTGCTTTTTGAATAGAAAACACATTTACATGATTCAAAAATCAGAACGGTATTAAGAAGCACTCCCAACTCTTCACTCATTTGTCCTGTTTCTCTCCCTCTATCCCATAAGTAAATATTGGTTTATGATGTCTCCAAGGTGATTTTGTACATTTGTATACAACTGTATAGTCATATTCCTCCCAATTTTTATAGTTTTCATCTTGCTTTATTTAATATATCATGGAAATCTTGCCATAGATCATGGCAAGCTTTCTTATTTTATTTTTTATTTTATTTTATTTTATTTTTTTTTTGCTGTACGTGGGCCTCTCACTGTTGTGGCCTCTCCTTGCGGAGCACAGGCTCCGGACGCGTAGGCTCAGTGGCCATGGCTCACGGGCCCAGTCGCTCCGCGGCATGTGGGATCTTCCCGGACCGGGGCACGAACCCGTGTCCCCTGCATCGGCAGGCGGACTCTCAACCACTGCGCCACCAGGGAAGCCCACAGTGATTTTTTTTTTTTGATGCTTAAATTGTCCCAACATTGGACAGTAGGGCTCCCTCAAAGCTGTTCCTATCTTCATCCTTTTGACAGAACTCCATTAGTCTTTGAAAGGTTCCTTGTTTTCTGGCACAATAAGTAATGCCCGGGGGTTCCCTGGTGGCACAGTGGTTGAGAATCTCCCTGCCAATAATGCAGGGACACAGGTTCAAGCCCTGGTCTGGGAAGATCCCACATGCTGCAGAGCAGCTAAGCCCATGCGCCACAACTACTGAGCCTGCGCTCTAGAGCCCATGAGCCACAACTACTGAAGCCCGCACACATAGAGCCCGTGCTCCGCAACAAGAGAAGCCACCGCAGTGAGAGCCCGCGCACTGCAATGAAGAGTAGCTCCCGCTCACCGCAACTAGAGAAAGCCTGCGTGCAGCAACAAAGACCCAATGCAGCCAAAAATAAATAAAAATTAAAAAAAAAAAAAGTAATGCCTGGCTTATCTGGTAAACTCCCCTAGGCCTGGAATCAGCTACTAAAATTCCTTTTTAGTAGCAAATTATCATGGCCAACAATGTGTGAGAATGTCTGTTTTCCCCAAGTCAGGAACATTTTAGATGCTTTTTAATAATTTGTATATCTAAAAATACCTACATGTATGCTTTTTAATTAATTAATTTTTGGCTGCGCTGGGTCTTTGTTGCCGCACGAGGGCTTTCTCTAGTTGCGGCAAGCGGGGGCTACTCTTCATTGCAGTGTGCAAGCTTCTCATTGTGGTGGCTTCTCTTGTTGCGGAGCATGGTCTCTAGGCACGCAGGCTTCAGTAGTTGTGGCACGTGGGCTCAGTAGTTGTGGCTTGCAGGCTCTAGAGCGCAGGCTCAGTAGTTGTGGCACACGGGCTTAGTTGCTCTGCAGCATATGGGATCTTGCCGGACCAGGGATTGAACCCGTGTCTCCTGCATTAGCAGGCGGATTCTTAACCACTGCGCCACCAGGGAAGTCCCTACATGTGTGTTTATATGATCAGAACAAGCAATGGATTCTTATAGCTCAGTCTAAGAAGTTGTATTGATTTGATCTTTCTTGGTCATTGAAGTTAGAATTATACTTATTTTGTTGTATCTTGATATTAGTCCCAACGTAAAGAAACCTTAGTTTGCGTAAATTAATTTTATCTTAGGTCAAGTATTGAGTTAAGATATATTCAATTTTGATGCAGGAAATGATGTTCAGGTCTACTAAGGCAATTGAGATATTTCCCTTTTTCTTTCGAGAAAGTGTTCTGAGATTTCCTAACTTGGCATCATGACCTTTCTTTTTTTTTTCTTTTTTTTTTTTTTTGCGGTATGCGGGCCTCTCACTGTTGTGGCCTCTCCCATTGCGGAGCACAGGCTCCAGACGCGCAGGCTCAGCGGCCATGGCTCACGGGCCCAGCCGCTCTGCGGCATGTGGGATCTTCCCGGACCGGGGCACGAACCTGTGTCCGCTGCGTCGGCAGGCAGACTCTCAACCACTGTGCCACCAGGGAAGCCCATGACCTTTCTTATTTCATCTTTTCCATGAGAAATAAAATGTGACCTATTTCAGAAGTGGACTTCTGAATCAAACTCTTCGAACTGCACAGGCATGGATAACCATGAATGGCACAAATTCCCTTCATCTTTTTCCCACTTTGATAAATATTATCAAAGATAGCCCCTTGTAGTAAGTAACATATTGTAGAAAATTATATTACAGTATATAGAAAGGATATAAACTAAACTGTTAACTGTCATCTCAGAGAAGTGGAACAAAAAGATAAATGGGGGGAAATGTTTTTCTAATTCTTCGAAAAAAATATTTTTTCTGTCTACATTGTATTGTCATATGGAAGTGCCATATACTTTATTTAACCATTCTGTTGTGGAACATTTAGATCATCTCTAAATTTATTTGATATTATGAATAATACCCCATTTGACCTCCTTTTGGTTAAATATTTGTATGCAGCTTTGGTTTCTTAAGATGAATACCTACAAGTGGAATTATTTGATTAAAGCATATAAGAATATTTTTAAGACTTGATAAATATTACCAAGTTACCCTAGAAAGGTTGTTTCAATATACAGTCTTAGCTAAAGTATGTGAGAGTGCCATTTTCAACTTGTCTGCAATCTCAATTCCTTAATTAAAAACATTACCACAAAATAAACCCAGTCTTCAAATCTGAACTCTGTCACATGACCACCTGAGTTAACCTTCTGTTACCATGGGCAGGTTGCTTACCCTCTCTGTGCCTCAGGTGTTTTTCCTGTAAAATTGGGATAAGAATATCTAAAAGAATGCCTGAAATACAGTAAACACTTTATAAGTGTTTGCTATTATTTA